GATCTCGGGCATCAGCCTGTCAGTGATCAGCTATATGGGCACGCAAGGCAAGTATCGCGCCCTCAACAAGCTTTTGAGCTGGGCCGATTTACCTGACATCGATGACCATGCTCCTGAAGAGGAGCCTGTCCTGGAGATTCAGTTGCCTCCAGAGACCCTCCCAAGGTTGTGATTGTCGTTTGCATTTATCAGATGCTTGAAGCGGCGCCACCGGCTTGGCCCTATTGGTCTCACACTTCATGAAGCACCAGACTCGAGTGGAGCATGAGCGAGTTGGGGGGGCATCCCTAGTGGCGAATTTGGGCTTTGCATCCCTGCTCCCATGACTCTTGGCCACTCGTGTTTTTGATGGCGCAAAATGGAGCGGAGACGGTTTTTGGGACAGGAGAACAGACAGTTGGCTCATGCTCATCTTCACATGCATATGCCACTTCATGATGGGGTGAGGAGAAGTATGTTGGTGTATTTGTGTTTTGTCTTTGTGTTGGTGCTCTCAGCTGCTTGCTTTTTTGAGGCCAATACCAGCCGCTTGGGAAACTCTGTGGCAGAGTCGGAGGTGCAGGGCGTTCAAGATTTTGAGGGCATTCGAGCGTTCCAAAACGTTTGGATGAAGCCTGGGCTTGGTTTGGCAATGGACGGGTTACACGTGTTTGTTGGGAGATGGCAGGACCTGACCAGAGTGCTTGTCAGGAGTGTTTGGATGCCAAGGTTGAAACGTGGGTTACTTGGCTGAATCGGAAAAGAAAGCCATGTTGCCTCTTGGCTCTGCCTGTCCCGTTCTTGTCTGCCGGCGAGTTCGGTGAAATCGGCATCCAAAAGGAAAGTCCGTTGGTTGCATTTGCTGGAACATGCACATAGAGTCGATGCCAAGTAGACAAAGCCACTGGTTGTCTTGGCTGCACATAGATGGGGTTACGGGGTTACAGCCTGAAATTCTCTTTGAGCAGGCGCAGTACATTTGAGAACAAGAGGTCGGGAGCCTATATGTTCTGATGACCCCGTGGCCAAATTAGAAGAAGCCCGGTGAATTTTGGTAAATAGCTTCGGCTCAAGCTCGGTTGGCGAAAACAAGGTTGGTGAAAAAGTCTGTCGGCTCAAGGCAGCTCGGTCAAAAAGTTGCACCACTATCGCGGAAAATTTGGGATAGGCAGTTCCTCCTTGGCTCAAGCTAACATGTTGGGAGACTTGGGGCAATAAAAAAGGGGTTGGGATATATGTGCGTGGGTGACGTGGTGGAGTTTTCAGTGCAAGCGGTTGCTCTTTTCTTTTGGCGTTGCACTGAAACATGTGCTTGGGCGCTGCGCAGGGACCCTGAACATGTGTCATGCGTCTGTTGTATCACGCGCGCTCCTCCCCACAGGTTTTTGTGTTTTGGTCTCGCTAATGCCAATGCTTTGTATTGCCTACTACTGAACAGAACCTATCTGCGTGTTTTGTTGAAAAGACATCATGGCTCAGTACGTCTGAGGGGCGTAGCGGCGAAGCACAGTGTACGCGCCGTAACGCGCGTTACGCCGAGGTCGAGGTAAGCGTTGCCTGTCAGTAGCTGCGCGTTACAAGGGACATAGCACAGTTCGCGGCGTGGGGCGCACCAAGATTTGGGCAAACATTTCCCGTCATTAGTTTTCGTCGCTGTTATTTTGAAGGATGTATAATGCGGCTTACGCGGCGTAACGAGCGATACGTTAAAAGGTCTGGGCAAACCTTTCCAATTCCCGTCAGTACTTCTTGCGGCTTGTTTTTCAGCCTTACACGGCGTAAGGCGCGTTACACCAAGGTTTGTGCAAACAATGTCAACGAAGGAAGAAACAATGCTTTGCACATACCATCTTTGTTCACAAGCGGTGAGCTTCTCTGAAATCCTCGGCAGTCTCTGTAAACATATGCCAACGTGTGCCACTTTCGGTGTAATAGCACGGCCCTACTTGCATCCTCATGAGGCGAGTTCGAAACCGGAGCAGCTCGACCCGACAATCAATGTAAAAACTTTCACAGTGAAATCATAATCAAACACATACTCAAAAACAAAGAACTCAAATCCACCAATCTGCTCCACCGATCCTCTGTTGTATTCTGCGCTGTTGTTTGTGCAGCATTGCTCAATGCTACAGCCATTGATATCCTTGCTGCAACTTGGTTCGTGTATCCAAACGTCTGAGCTGTTGATGCTTGTCTTTCTTCTTTGTTTTCCCTTTGCAGCTGTACAGTTCTCATCATGAACAATGCTGAGCCATCCGCTTTTGAGCATATCTGCCGCCTGTTGTCTTGTATGAACCTGGTGGTCAAACCATTGGCTACCATTCTTTTGCTGCTCCCCCAACGAAGCTCTATCTGAAGCCTTTTGACCCCCTCTTTGATGCACAAGACCTCGATTCGTGCCCTTTTGTCCGCTGAACTTCCGATGCCAACTCTTTTCAAGCTGTCGTTCAGTGCTTTGGCATCATCAATGATTATTGCCGACGTGCCGCATTCTGCTGCCGTTGCTTCTCTCAATCTTCTGTCATAGGATCAGAATAATTTGCGTTCAACATCACCCTGAGGGATCAACCGACACTTTATCTGATCCAGCTGCCCAATCATACAATAGTACGAATAGAGGTATCGACGGGTTTGCCTGCAGGTTGCGTCGCATATACAATGTCTGATCGGCACGGTTGAATGGCTGGTCTGGAGCAATGGCACGGATGGCAAGATCGAACGATTGCCTCTTCTATGAGAAAAGCTTCATCGCCCAAGGTCGTGCTCTATAGACCCAGAACGATGGCCTCTGCTGTCCGGACGCGACTGATGTATCCAGTTTGGCATCGGACACCTCGGTCTCCAGGTCTCTGATGAACGCTTAATTTAGTTGCCTGGAAGTCTGCGAATCGAAGTTCCTCTTCCGAAGCTGCCCTTGAAGCTGGGCCTTGGCAAACTTGGGGCAAAACAGTTTGTGAACAGATATCCCTGACGCGCAAATGTCGCGATTGAAAGGTCTACGTTAGATTCTTTGCGTGGAGCCCACCTTAGTGAACAGAGCGAACACCAATAATGAAGTGCTCAGAAGGGCCAATTGTGCAATTAGAGCACAAAATAATTAACCCGCATAGTGCTGTGTACAGAAGAAGCGATACCTTTAAAAAGCAGAGAATTGCCTAGCAAGATTGAGAGGAACTCGAAAGACCCGAATGAGTTGATCTTGATCTCAGATAGTGCAGGAGTCCAAAAGTTCGTGAATCAGAACCTGGCTCAGCTCCGTGGAGCAGTGGCCGATATGCAGGCACGACTCCCCTTGTTGCGAGGGGAGGTCGCTTGTTCGCTTAAAGTTACTTTGAAAAGTTGTGTGCCAGTTGACGGCGCAACAATTTGACAGTTCCTGTGGAAACTGAGGACGGAGAAAATAGAAGGAGAGTGGCCAGGACACATGATGAACTTGGGGGTGACACCTCCAGGATGCTGGTGTATGAGGCTTACCTTGACTGCCTTCTGCGCAATAACGCCCATCGAGATTGTCATCGCACTGCGCGAAGCGAGAATGCCCTCTTATTCCATGCGCAGTTTGACCCTTACCACAGGGCATGGAACGATCTGAAACTGGCAATGCAGAACTCAAAGCCAAATGCATGGAGAGCAGTGTTGGAGCTGACCCTGGTTTGCAACCTCAACTACGGCCCTTATAGCAGCTCAGCTTGGTTCTGGAGAAAAAGGCAAGATTGGCTGATTTTCCTTCAACAAAGACTCATTTTGGAGCTGCCTGGCAGAAACATGTTCCCAAAATCTGCCAAGAGAGGAGGATCAGGGAGCCCGCTCGCCCCATTGAGTCCCAAGACCTCTTCGACCAGCTCAGGGATTTAATTTAGAAACCTTCCATCAGAAGGGGCCCCTCATCAAGTTGATGAGGTGGTTCAGCTGTTTTGAATCCATGCACTTCTACAGTGGAGAACTGCAGGCGACCAAAGCAGCCAGAAGCGAGACAAGGCGGACACAATCACCAACAAGAAGGGAGACAAGGCGGACACAGTGACCAACAAGAAGGGAGACAAAAAGAGACAGAAGGGAGACAAGACGGACACGGTGACCAACAAAAAAGGAGACAAGACCGGCGACAAAGGAAGACAGAAGCGAGACAAGGCGGACACAATGACCAACAAAAAGGGGGACAAGAAAGGGAGACAAAAGGAAACAGAAGGGAAACAGCGACGAACCTTTCGATTGTGTAAAATGGTTCCTTGTTTCTGTATGAAAAGGTTTAAAAAGACCCACAGTCTTCCACAGACTCCACAAGGACTGGAGGAGACAAATGGGAGACAAGCGTAAAATCATGCGGCCAGCGGACAGTGGGAGACAAGTGTAAAATCATGCGGCCAGAACACCAGACAGTGGGAGACAAGCGGAAAACACATGTAAAATTCATTCAGCCAAAGCACTAACAGGAGACTGGAGACAATGGGAGACAAGTGGGGGACAAGTGCATCAGGATGAGGAAGATCAGATATTATGCGTGAGGTCAAGTAAAGGAAGTTCCCAAAATCAGTCCCCCAAATGTCCGACTCCTTCTTTTTTGGAGTCGCTCTACCAGGATATACCCAAGTTGATCCTTCCAATGTTGGCACAGATCCCATCAGATCAGATCCCTGCAGTGTCAAGCACCTGGGGATCAGAATGAACTTTATAGGAGTTGGGGCAATCGCACGTGTTCTGAAAAGTCAACTTGTTGTTGTGTCGCATATCGACCTCTTCTTTGCCCGGATCTTCCAATTATCCAAGATGTTTGCCCCCTTTCGCTGGGGTTTATAGATGAAAGGGCAGACCATTTGCACCGTTGAGAAGATCCAGGTCTATCCCTAGGGATCCAAGTACCTTCTCAGCAGGTACTTGGACCCTCCAAGCCTACATAACACTGTCGAACACATCACCGTACCTGAGGTTCGGTACGACCGGATGCCTATAGGCCTATAGGGTATGAAATCCGCCCTTGTTTGATCGGTCGTCGGTCGTCACCGTCACCGACGATGACCCAGGTGCCGCGGATGATGCCGAACTGATGGTGCCCACCACGTGGAAAGAAACCAAGGACCATCGAGCCGAGCGGACGCGACGCGACGCGTTTTTTCAGGTCGAAGGAGTGGTTTGAGCTGCTTTTGCCAGGATGAGAGCTGTTTTCCTGGGAACGCAGGTGAGAGCAGTCAAAGGAGTTTGATTGACCTGGTGTGGAAATCAAAACTCCGTGGCTATGACATCAAAGGTGGTTGAAATCCATATAAACCGGTGTTTCTTGGCGTTTTTTGGCCAAGTTCTTCAAGGGAAGGCACTCATGGCACTCACTCACTGACAGCAGCGAGGCGGTATATACCAGGTACTTCCAGGACCTTCCTTTCGGCCGGTGGCTTTTTGGACACCCCGAATCAACTCAGACACGAGGCTATATATAGAGACCTCGACAGCCCGGAAGGTGGGAACAATCGATATGGGGCTGGAATATTGGCCAGTTTCTAAGCCAGTGCTCGTGGCTTAAATTGACCGGCCCATGGATTTGGAGGGCCACACATTCGCTCAAAAACCACCGTTTGCCTGCCACGGTCCTTAAAACCGCAGTCATTGATTTGTTCCAGTCGGTTTTTAGCCCGGACAGGACCGACTGCCATGTCGGACTGCCTTCAAAACGGCCAGGGGTGGTTGACTGGGGGTCTGTCTGGGGCAGCAGTCCGTCCTGGCAGTCCCAGACGGGTCGCGTCTGGGTCGCGGCTCAATGGGTCCAGGAAGCGGCCGAATTGGCTCGCCGGATCTTGAACGAGCAGCGCAAGGCCTTGTGCGCCTCGGCCAACGGTTGGCCTGCCATCGGCGTTGGCCTGATCACGTTGTAAAACTAGGCCAGTTCGGCGGACATGTTGCATAATAGTTGGTAACTGTAGGACTCCAAGTACCTCCTCAGAAGGTATGACTGGACCCTCTAAACCCACCCCAAACACCTTCTTAGAAGGTACTTGGACCCCAAGGGCAACTATACTTTGAGTGTTATGGTTTAAAACGAGCGAGGGGGCGCAACCATGCCACGGTGCGATCTTGGAAGGTCTTGCTTCTGTGATGTTTGGGATGGGAGAAACATGGGGACCAGGCGCATTTTGAGTGGACGTTCGGCCCGTTCTCCCTCCCGAAAGGGCGAACCATCGACTGGAAGGGTCTGGGGGGTTCTCAACCAATGCCCCTTCCTGGGCCACCATTGATTTTGATAGCCTCTTGGCTGGTTGTCTAGATCAAAAGGCATGAACAAAATGTTGCACGGTTGGAAGTTACATCGGGGTTTATGAAAAGGAATCTATATAATCTAATGTATGCCATGTCCATGTGTGTATACATAATATATACATACGCAGTCCCATGGAGTGTTTGCGTAGTGCTTCGCCAACGCCTGAAATCAGCCACAGAATGATGGTGTACGAAAGGAAAAGGATAGGTTCAGCGCTGGGAATTGACCGCGGTTGATCTTTCGTATGGTTTCTGTTTCTTTCAGGGGATGTTTCGGTCAAGCTCTATTTACAATAATAATGAAATCACATACATTTCCTGTCCCTGTCCAAGATCTATCCCATATTGTTAGATTGACGTGCGACGCATGAGCTGAGCCAGATTAGTTTTGGTTGACGTTCATTCGTCTTCAGACCCTTTTATCTTTCGCATCGTTTATCAAGTGTTCAATGGTCTCTTCACCCTTTTTCTGAATGATCACCCATTGAATCCATTCAGAAATAGAGATTTATACGGATTGTATGCAGGTGGTCGCCAAGATTTTACACTTCATATCTTTACCCCAGGCTTCCAGTCACCATTGATTTACATAGTCTTTACCAAATAAACCATTGTTGTCCTAAAGATTTCAGACTAGGAAACCAACTCAACCACGTTTTAACCAAGTTCTTCCAGAAAAGGCTTCAGGAATGAATCTAAAACACCTCTTAAGAATCAGCGCTTTTTGGCCTAAACAACCGATGATCAGATCGGACCTTTATAGCCAAGGCCCTGAGCGGCCGAGCCTGCAACTCCTGCGCATCCTGGCCGCCGCACGGCAGCCAGCGGAGGGCCAGGCACCACCGACGCGGAACGTGCGACGGGACGTCGTGAACGTCGAAAAGACCCGTAACAGACCCGTCATGGAAAACAGCAGTGGGGATTGGTGAAAAGCTCCGAAGGTATCTAATAGACCCCTAGAAGATCCTAATTAGATCTTCCAACTGTGCAAAATCTCTGCCTAGTCATATAAAATAAAACTAAAAGTGTTGGCCAAGTAAGCAGGTGGCGGATGGTGGCGGCACTTCTTGCATTTTGTTGGAAGATGCAGGTATGCCGTCTTGAAACGTTCCGAAAACCTTCAGCCTGCACATCATCCGACGCGCGCCACTTTCTTTTGCACGACGCGCCTGGCAGGTGTGGAGACTACAGCTGGAAATCCGGGAGGATTCCCGGCGAAACTGCACCGATGGATGCGGCTGGCTTTTGTTCCGATGGAGCACCGTTCCAAACAGCCGTGTCCTGGTCCCTCAAATTCTAGGGATTTGAAGCCCTGAGGGTCTGGCCCCGTCTTAGGATATCTTAGGATCCTCGGGAGGATCCATGAGCATCTCGGTGCACTACTCCTGACTTGTGCTTAGCAGGGAATGAGGGAAGTTTCGCCTCCAATAGAGATTCTATTGGATCCATCCACCCTCATTCCCTACGAGTCGCACCAGTCAGACCCTGAGATAGATGGTGAAGCAGTTTGTTGGGATCGTTCCTTACCACCTTCTTGAAGCATGCCATCCCGCAGAGGTTGAAAAACCCTATAGACTATCCTATAGGTACCCCTGTAGGGTCCTATAAGGTCACTTAACCTCTGTAGGATCCCTTAGCAGCCTTAGCAGCATGAAGAAAATGAACCTATAGTCCCTGGTTGGGTAAAACATTTGGTTCTTCGGGATATTGACAGGGCTATATCAAATCAACGCTGGGCGACCGAAGAAGACCCGAAGTGCGGGGGCGAGCTGAGGAGTTGGAAGAATTCGGCGAGAAGAGCGGCAGCTTTGAAGAACAGGCAGCGACTGATTCACGATGGGCTGATCGTCCGACAGAAAAGCCTGCAAGATCTGCTAACTTAGGCGACATGCTGGTCGAAGCTGGCTGGATTTATAGATGAAGAAAAGGTAGAAATGTGACGCAGTTGACAAATTCATGCAGTCTTGGCTCCTCACATGTTCCCACCTTGGACTGAAAAGGAAAACCGAAACGAGCAGATCGTTGCTCCGTTCGTAGCGACCGCGAGCGGAGCCCCTACTACCGTGCGTCCGCGTCCGCGTCCTTCCGTTCGTAGCGATGCCAGAAACCCATCTTCCCATCGGAACTCGAAACGGGCAGATCTTGGTGTCCTATGCCTTGGACACAGAAGTGCCACAAGAGATGGCCCTCAGTGCAGAGGTCTATGCAGGCGTGCCGCTTCGGTCAGGTCCGCTAGGCACGTTGTGCGATGTTGATCTTCCTTGGATGGGTAAGAATTCACCGGCATTGCGGAATATAACTTGTCTTTTCTCTGTTCCTTATTCCTTATAGACATCGATGGCCTCCATGATTCATGACAACCGAGAGGCCCCACCCACGGTTGTGTTATACTGTCGGTTGGTAGCTGGTGGCATCGCCCCCTTGATCACATGGAAGCTGAAAAGGGACCTGCAAGGAAGACGATGTTCCTCCACAACCCGACGTGGTTTTCAGGTTCCATTTGGGTCTCCAACATGACCGGTGATTCCTCCCAGCCGCCTCTCGATGCCGCACCCTTTCGGAGATGAAGTGGAACCGGTTCCCTGTAGCCATCCAGCCATCTTACCTAAGGGCTCGTCGCTATAGTCACCCAACGTCGCAAACGTGACGTCACCCGGAGGCCATCAAAAGAGTTCAGGAACGACCTGGTTTTCAGTGTTGTAAAACAATCGTTGGATGTTGTTCGGTATGGTGTTCCTTTCGCGGCCTGCGCCTTTCGTTCATCGCGACCTGCTGTGCCCTCCAAGCTTATCTTGCTGCGCGCCGAAGGGAGTCAAAGTGGGTGCTGCTGGGGTTGTGAGGCCGATATCCCTGCAAGATGGTGCATGAGGAGAAGGAGCAGACCACTCTGGACTGCGGGGGAAGAGACTGGAGAGGCCTTTGGATGGTTCTTTTTTTCGTTGTCCGGTATGATGAAAGAACCCTAATTGGGGAGGTCTTACTTCTCAGGTCCTCAAAAGTTCGATCTGTGTTCTCTGAACTGATAGTGGCAACTACACGAAGAGTCCAGCTGCGAAACTGGAGGAGAAAACCATTCGCATGCAAATGTCACAAACATATGTGAATGAACACTGCGGAAAGCTTCACACCCAATTTCACAACCTAAGTCTTGCCCTGTCCTTGCAAAAGGAAATCCTGGAATGCTTTGCACTCGTCAACCCTGTCAATGATTAATAGTTTGACTAACAAACCAGCGGATGGGGTGATTGACAAGAGGGAACAAATTGAAACGACACTTCCCAGACCATCCTTGTATGAATAGTTACCTACATTGGGGTCATGTTCATGGGATGAATGTAAAATAACTATTCCAGTCCCATGGCAGGTCTAGGCTTTAGCATCCAGCATCACCCAGGATGTGGATGCTTGAAAACCCCCCCTGACTCCTGACCTGCTATTTTCCATCCAATCACCACCCGTCTCCTGGCTGGTGCTGGATCTGCAGCTACTTGTGTTGTGGCGGCCACCGATGATCACCGATGAAGGAGTCGGAAGCTTTGGCCTTTTGGCTTGACAAAAGTCCTTCCACCCGAAGTCTGAAGTTGAATGCTTTGGGGTTTGGGGTTTGGTCAATCCTTTCCCGTGAAAGGCCTGTGAACAGAGCGTTTGGGTCATAAGGAAGCCTTCGAAGATCCTGAAGTCAAATTGGTTGTTTGGTAAAGTTCTTGCAGAGGTACGTCCCAGTGGATCTACATGTGGAGGTCAGGAGATTCATGCGAGTAGCCTCTAAGTGATTTTGAGTACACTCCCTCTAATCATCATGGAAGTGGATGGTATGGCCCCTGGGATGACCAGTTCGCCGTACAAACAGGTGGTGCAGTGGTGCCAGTCTCATTTGATCACAAGATCTTGCATAGATATACTATGGACCATGATATCCCCTGGGAGCCCGAGAGGTTTCAAAAGATTGCGTGTCATCTATAGATGACCCGTTTATCCAGGAATGTCCCGTACTTTGGTGGTGCCCAATATGCAACTGACAAACTGCTACCCCAAATCATGAAATATGGACATATAACCTCATGTCAGAGGTGAGGTGAGGAGCCGGATGTTCCAAAACGGCCTGAACGGGGGGTCGGTCCGTTCATGTTTCGGTTCGAGGATCCGATCCGTGCCACTGTGGATCGATGACACTGTACACGTTTTTCCGGTGCCCCCGAACCGACCCGTCTTCAACCCGCAGGACGCGGAGGAAGACCTCGAAAACGCCACGGAGCACGCCGCCGCGGCGTCGGTGAGGCGCGCGAAAGCGGAACGGAGCCCATCGCGACGGGCGAGTGAAGACGTGGATCCGAGTCCGGACCCTTCACTCGGAAGGGGTCGAGGTGTCTCGAGGTGCTGCTGTTCACAAGGGTTTGGGGGCCCCGAAGTAAACCCTTGTTTTGTTTCGGGTGCGGATCCTTAGGGTAGAAGATATAGAGGGGGTGAGTCCGGATCCGAAGAGGCAATCCACTTTTGGAGGGACCAGGAAAGGGCGCCGTGTGGGGACACCAGGACCACCAGGTTTCGATGGTTTGTCAATTGGATGTGTTGGGATGGGAAAAACACATGGGTTCGCGGAGGGTCTATGAATCACCCAGTTGCTGGGTGGTGCTGGCAAGTACAAGTCTTTTGCTTCGGGTCATGTCCTATTAAATTATTCACTATATGAACACCCCAGACACTCCGTGGGTCATGGGAAATATCTGGAAATGTGCCTCGGCCGGCATACATGAAACATCATGAAACCCTCGTTTCAATGACCCGTTCGAAGTCCAGTGAAAGACTTGGTTCGGGCACCACCGCAGTGGACCGAGGACATTCCCAGTTCCTCAGGGCGTCCGACGGTCGATGGGTCCGTAGGCTGGGCCCCTGGAAGTCCAGTGCGACTACTTTGGGTCCACTCCAGGTAGCAGCACTGTCCGGGTTTGGGATCCTCACCATGTGAGGGTGGAAATGGACCGAAGACAAACATGTAGCAGTTGCTTCGGGCTTCTCGGGCCACGTCTCGCGACGTAGGGCTGGAACCCATATCCCAAATACGCCATGTTGACCGAGAAACGGCCAGGGGTGGTTGACTTGGGGTCAGTATTCCAGTATACATGGAGTGTCTGGGCATGGTTGTTCCAACAGGACAAGTGTTTGATCCCTCACATTCCTAGAGCTTCCATTAGATCGGTCTGCCTCTGGTGGAAACCCTGACTCTCCAGTGCCGAGGGTCACCGGTTAGGTCGGGTCTCCACAGCCAGCCTGGCCAGGAGGGTCCTGGTATGGGACTGGTTTTCTAGAATTGGGAATCAGCCACCACGTTTTGCCAGGCGGCTGAGCTGGGACCCAACATCCGCCTCGGAAGCGGTTGCAGCTGGAAGAAGCCTGGATTGGTCATTCATTCTTAATACAATAGACCTACCAGCATCCTCACTGCCAAGTCTCCTCAGTCGAGAGTTGTTGGGCCCTCAAAAATCTCAATTGGTGACCTGGCAGCGAGGATGCGGGTATAGATCTTCCAACGAGCAACATGTTTGCCCAACTGGTCTCGCTTGATAGACGAAAAGGCAAAGATTGTGCATCATTGGAAGATCATGAAGATCCACTTATTTTTGTTCTCCACAATGGGCTGATGGACCCAAACCAGCCAGGGTATTGTTTGGAACACCTGATGGTCTTGCACTTGCAGCGGTCAAGATCCAGGCACCGGAGGATCAATGAGCCTTTGGGTGTAGGCCCTAGAACACCCCGGTGCCCTTCCGAGGAAGACCATTCAAAGAGTTGGGTTGACATGATGTTGTAGTGTAAAGTCCAATGCTTGTTGGGGACCCCAGATGGACCGGGCTATTCAATCCATTGTGGACCAGCAAGGCTCGAGTCTATAGTTGCTTAGTTTGTGTTTTGGGTAAGGCGCCTGGCCAAGCTCCAACAACTCCTGGCCTCCAAACTCCTGCAGTTGGAGGCCATGTCTTCTAAGGCAACCAAGTCGAGCGCCCCTTTGTGGAGCAAGGCTGTGCTGAGTGGGTGGAAGTGCTATAGGTGATCAGAACCTGAGTGACCTCCTATTTTGGACGGACCACCACCCGAAAAGCCGCAGCTCTTCGCCAAAAGGAGCGCCGGCTTCGCTTCGTGGGGTGTGGATCCTGGATGGGGTGCTGCTAAGCCACTACACGTTCGGCTATCCACATGAAGGCCTTCATGTGGATTGGTGGTTCAGTTCACTCCTCGGAGTTCATGGGAAGTGTCGGAAGAGAGCTATTCGTCCCGCCATCGCCCCACGCAGGGGTCAAGCCCGCCGTCCTCCGGCGTCCGGAGCGGCACGTTTCGGTCTGGGACGTTTCGGTCGAACGAAGCTCCGAAGGGTGTGGTCCTACCTGAAGGCCGTCGTTCGTACCTCGGAAAGAACTGGGTACCGTCGTATATATCTGTTTTTGATGGTTTTGATGTCCCATTTTCTAAGGTACATTGAAGTCGGGTCTAGGTACATCCATTGGGCTCAATTGTAATCACATTCCAGGTCTTCTTCTTTCTGTCTTTGACCCCCTTCTCCGGTGGAGTAGGGGTAATCTTCTCGATTGCCTTCTGCACTTCTTCCTCTCATCTCTGTTCTCAAGCTCCTTGTATCCTGGTGCAAAGAATCCAATATCTTCTGGTGGTGCTGGTTCATAGCTGAAGATTGTAATTGAAGGAATGATTGCATCATCATCAAAGAATTGCCCATCAAGTTCCTCCTTTTTCATCATACTTTCACAATATTCAGGCATAAGCCATCTACCTCCCCTTTTCACCAAAGTGGTTCTCATCAGCTCTGGTGAATCTTAATCTTCCACTTCTGGAATGAATGTGGGATCAACAAATCTTGAAGTCAATAAGCTTCCAACTAGTATGCCATGCTCATTGAACCTCCAACCGGTTGATTTTTCCAAAGCGTTCAGGCACTTGCACCTCCAAGCAGCTTTCATCCTCATCTCGAATGACTAATGCGGCCTTGCACTGTCAAAGAGTGATTTTGCAAGTTGAGTGGTACCTTCAAGTCACCATTCTCCATTGTTTGCTCCCGACCATTGATTCCCCAACCATGCTCCATCAGTCTTCCATAGCAAAGTATGGGCTGATATGGCAAGTCTTCACTTTTGAACTGAGAAGAATCACGTCTTCTCTTTGAGAAGAGCTTCATGTCCATTGTTCTTGTCATGCAGACGGAGATCGCAACACTTGAACCACACCCCTCCTGCATGACATACGGTTCCCCTACACATCGATCATAGTTTGGTAGCTGAATTGAACTCTAGCTATCCGTCACCCCATGACCTGCCATATTCGAAGGGAATAAAGCTACATCAGCTCCACGGTCAATAATGATGGCCATATCATCTCTCTCTTCTCCAAGTCTCCTGACCTTGGACTCCTCATTCTCAATCTCAATCTCCATGGCTCCTTCTTCACATGGCTCATCATCATAACAATAACAATAATAATCATCATCTCCGATGTAGAAGTGAATCACTCGAATTCCATGATTTTCTGGTTCATCATGTCCTTCTCGCAGGTAAAAGATGATTGGTTCACTGTTCTCAATCCTTCTGACCACTTGTTTGGTGTCTGCTGAGCTACTTTGCTGACTCACATTGGCTTGTTGTTGGCCAACTGTATGAGTAGACACTGAAGCTCCTCCTGAAGGTGAATGGGCTGTATCACTTGCAACCTGTCGAATATTGTTTCTCCAACAGTCTCGAGCAAGATGTCCTGGCTTCCCACAAGTGCAACATGTAGCCACACCTTTTCCTTTCTGGCCTTTGCCTTTGCCTTTGCCCTCGTGATCACCTTATTCTCCTTTCTGTTGCTCTTTTCCTTTCTTTCCTTTGCCTTTGGCATCCTTACCTTTGCCCTTCTGATAGTCATTCTTGCCTTTCTTGCCCTTTCCTTTGGCGTCTTGGACTCGATCAACGTCCATAGGCATGGGTCCTTGATCGTCTGTACTGCTACTTGCCAGCATCGAAGTAGCCCACTTCTGAGAACGATCCCGTTGCAACACTTGTTCCCTCAAAGTTGAGTATTGAACATTGTCGCCAATTGTCAAATTCAAGTAGGATCTGAGCTGTCCACCTACACATCTCAAAAGAATAGCAGATTTCAACTCTTCTTGAATTGTTGTTCCTTATTTGACTGTCTCATCAAATACCTCTTCAAGCTTCTTACTCATCATAGAAAATGCTGGCCATGTAGTGGCTGCTCCCAACTGGTTTTCTCTTCTCCAGCCAAGTCCATGTCAAATCTCTCGTTTGGCTAGTCGTGAATATCCTTCAAGTCCTTCTGGTAAGCCTCATCCACTGGGCATAGATACTTCTCAAACACCCATGACCACTCTCTGAACGCTGTGATCTCTTCTTCTTGCGACTTGTGTCAAATACAGTGGGTTTGGTAATCAACTTTCACCAATGAGTTGTCGTTCTCTTATCTTCAACTGCTTTCTTCACTGCTTCTGCTACTGATGCTGTTGCTTGGGTGCTTCTGGCTACGACTTCAAGGATTTCTCTTATCTCATCCATCGTTACCGCACAATAATGTCCCTCTGACACAATGTACGGGGTGCAGAGTGCAGCTCACAACCGTTTATCACCAGTCCAGCTATTCGGGTTCCAAAGGCCCCAAATCTATGGCTCGAAAACGCTCTCGGGATCCCTGTGACCTAGGCACTTTTCTCTAGAGCTCAAAGGGGGTTACCCTTATCCTTGCTCCGCTACCATGCGAACTTTTTCTTGACAATCAAAGGGCTGCGATCAAGTCACATGTACAACTAATCCGGTACATTGACTCTTATGATCTACATTGAAAGTTCCTCACAAAGTGACTGTTAAAAAAGTCAGGAGTTCAAAGGAATCAGAGGGAAATCAAAATAGGAATTAACAGGAAATCGCGAGGAATTCAGGGGATCAAAAGGAATTGGAAGGCGTTGACTGGGATTCGAAGGGGGTCAGACTGCAGCAAGGAGCTGACAGTGTGGACCTCTCGCCCACTGACGAGCAAGTTCGAAGCCAGAAGCCTTCACAAAAAAAACTTGCAAACAGCCATGGAGTTTCTTCAAGGCTGGCAAGACTTCTGATATAGAATAAGCATGGCTTCCAAGCTTTTCACTTGCACCGTTGAACTCTTGTTGCCGAAAACCGTAGACCCGACCTCAGCGGTGCGGCACCAGACGAATGGATTTCCGGATCCCCCACCAATCGAACGGAGGCTCCAGGTAGTGGAGGGAGCCCTGTTGGAGGTTTCAATTGGCGGGGAGGTCCCTGAAACGAGCCTTTTCTCGGTTTTCAATATGCCAATGCGTCGGTCGCCTGTTTGGGATTGTATACCTGGATCATCACATTCAAGTCACCAATCGACTACTAGACTGGACCTTCCGGACACCGACGGATGACCCTGGCGGTTTCGAAACCGCCAGGGTTGGATCTGCCGGATGACTTCGACCCCCGCCTGGAGAAGACCTTGTGCTTCCCTCGTGGCCTCTCAAGGCGTCAAGGCGAAAGTCCATCCATGGGAGGGACCGATCGGACCGGAGGAGGGGGTTGGGGTCTCGGAACGTGGCTGGGTCATGGTTCATGGGGTAAAAGGGTTGTAGCTATTCCATTACATGGATGCGCTGAAAGAAAAGGTGTCACTGGGGGTCTCAGCTGATGGCCGGCGGGTCTTCGTGCTTTCGAAAGGAACAGGAAGAGACTGATTACCAGGCATGGTCAACCTTCAGTGGTTCGGTGGAGGAGGTTTTGACCCACTGCCATGTTAAAAAGAATGGTCTGAGCGGAGGAATTTCCTGAGTTCAACTGGACTTTAACATGACCCCTTTGTGGTGCAGGTCGGTTCCAATTTGGGCCACTGGACCAAAGCCTTGGGCTGGGACTTGACCCTTGAAATCACCTCAATGTAGGTCATATGTCATACTAACCTGGATCCTCCAGGTAATTACCTCAGGACCTCGGCCATCCTGGAGCCATGTTGATAGTGTGTTCAAGTGGGGTCCAGGTTTAGTTGAATGTCTGATCATGAGTCTCAGTTACTTACCTTTGGGGGCCATATTTGGCTGCCGAGCCTTCAAGGCATCAAGCTGCTTCCTGCTTCCACACCGAGCGTCGAACGAGCATCGATGCCGACCTCTGGGTGCCTTCCGCCGTCCAACGCGAACTGCGAGGGAAAACTCTGGGCACTGCGTCGGTCGGGTCCAGCCATTGGGTGGCCGTAAGGAATCGATCATTAACACCCGCAACTCGGGTCGCCCTTTTTTGTTCCGAGAAGACCATCGAAATTCGTATAAAAGAGTTCCGTTGACCTGGAGTATATATAAAGAATGGTGGTGCGGGGTCAAACCGCATTGCAAAATGCATGATGGTTCAGATCTTAGGCTATAGGCACTATAGGCACCGCTGGTCCACGGTCACCAATCGCGAGGACTTTCTCCCGTGAGCACCTGGAGTCTGATACTTCAGAAAGTGGGTACTGTCGTACCTGCATGCTTTCATGAGATCCTGTGTCGGGTCCTGGCTCCTTTTTCCACTGGGTCCCCTGGGTTTGGCCTCGCCACCTGGATCTCTGACCCGAGGGGCGCCGTCTGCGGCTGCCGTCCGCCGCACGTGCCGTCCGGTCAGGCAGCTGTGGGGCCAGTTGGGCCTTCGCTTCAACGGTCGTGGCCTCCTTTCGGGAGTGTCTCACGTTGCTGCACCAAGGCCTGGCCCGGTGGCCCGTCGCTAAGACCGATGGAGCTGCGAACCATGAAAAGACCAAGCAGAGAGACCTGGAGAGACCTGAGCAGAAACAGGTGACAAGGATGGAACATTCCAGGTTGTTTTGAGCCACTTCCTTTCCTTCAACGATGAATGGCAGTGGTTCCATCGACATCGACCTGTTTCTGATGGTTTCCTGCAAAAGTTCCTCCAGGGATGAAACAACTGAAGATCCGACATCGACTGAAGACCCGGAGCTCACCAACCAGCTTCGACCATCCGAGGTCAGGAGGTACCTGGACCCATCCATGGATGGGTGGCATGGTCCCTGGCATATGGTTGTTGCAAGCAAATCGTGATGGGAAAGGAGGCAGTTGTAAGGAGGTTGACACACTTGTTGAGACAGGAAGTTGTAAGCAACTTGTATCAAGGAGATGATTGGAGACACCCTCGAGATTTCGAGCCTGGGCCCTCCAGTTCGCAGGGGTCCAAACCTGAACCAAACCCTTTTCTAATTTGAGAGCCCGGATAGAAGATGATCACAGGAAAGAACGGTTTTTATTAACAGTCATCCCCTGGGCCCTGGTAATTTCGTCCTTTTGTCCGTGCACAGGCGAGCAACCGGCCTCCTTGAACTTCTTCTCTGCACAGGTGTCTCGCCATGTCTCGCTGGGTTGAACCCGCTTCGTTTGGGTCAACAGGGCCGCGCGCATGGATTCCTCAACCAGCCATTGTATGGAATACACCGTGGAAAACTAACATAGACCCTGAAAACCACTGGTTGGTGGAGGCAAACACTCTTCCAGGGGGCCAGACAGTCAGGGTCTATGTTAGTTTTTGGGAGTGTAGTAGTTGCTTGCATTGAACCCCTGAAACCACAATGTAGGTACAGTGGGGAGTCCAGTCGACTAGCTTGAGAACGGTCGATCTTGGGTGACCCGAGTCAAGGAACTTCCTTTACAACGGTCTTGGGCAGTCTAGGGTATACCTGGACGTCTAGGGTATACCTGGATCTTCCAACTCTGCAACATGTTCCGCCTTTTGGCTAGGTTCTTACAGAAGAAAAGGTAGATAAGTTGCACAGCTGGAAGATCTAGGTATGTATATCTCAGAATATGGAGTGTTTGAGTGAGACCAGCTCCCTGTCTGGTCTTCCGAACCGAGCTTCCCACTGTACGCCTCTTCGACAAGGAGCTGTGGCGACCAGTACCGGCGTGTCGGATCCTATGTTGTGATAACCAAAAGACGATAAAACCGATCTGGCTGTATACCACCCTAAGAATCCATGGGGCCGCCCTATGGCAGGGGTTGGACATGGTTGGACCCTCCAGTTCGCAGGGGTGACCTGCCCATTTCAGGGCCCGGATTCGGGGTCTCCCAGGGATCTCCTTCGGACCACCCCGTGGAAGCACTACAGTCCTTTGGAGGTCTTGCTCTGTGCGAGTCTGGTTCCAGCTGACAAAATAGAGTATATAGGAAATTGGATGCCATTTTTTTGGAAGCAAGCCATACAGAAATAAAAAGTCTCTATAATGTATAAAGAAAAAAGCATGCTTGGACCATCCAAGCCCCTAAGCAAGTTCCCATGACCACCCTACACTACTTGTAGGCTTCCATCACCCATTGTCAGCACCACCCAGTTTGGGCGGTTCAGAGACCCCTGATTTTTCCACCACCATCCAAAATGGGTGCTGCTGGTGCTACTGATGGGATCATACATGGGTGTTGAATGTAACTCTGTACCTGGACCCGCCGTCCGATGGGCATACCTGCCGTGAAGCACCCGTCTCGTCCGATGCTTCAGCCTGTGTCCCAATCGCCAGCCTGTACGGATCGGAGGTACATGGGTCCACCCTACACCCCTAGGGATCCAAGTACCTTCTCAGAAGGTGATTGGAGACACTCTTATGTAGGTTTGGAGGGTCCAAGTACCTTCTGAGAAGGTACTTGGATCCTAGGGACTCCTGGTCCACTCCTGGATCTGGAGGGATCGGACCCCGAAGCAATCCCTATCTACCCTCTACTGCTCAGGTTCGGTAGGGGACACTCCTGGACACTCGCCCGTCCCGGTCGTCACCGAAAAGGAAGGTGTCCACTGGAGCCGGAGCCCTTAAAAGGGACCGGTCCGCCGCACCGGTGTGCACGGAGCGCTCGGGAGAAGACTCGTTCCGCACACCCCAACGTCCGAGGAGTTGGTCTCCTGTTCAGCGCACCACGGCTGTTCCGGCGGCAGCGCAGCGGAGGTTGGGACCGGCGGTTGGATGGGTCAAAGGGTGCACAAAAACGAAACCCACTTAACTTAATTATATAAACCATTGTTTTACCAAGGGTTTTACATTTTTCACAACAACACAATATTGTTTTTACCATTTGAAAGATGGTGTTGGACTTCCAGAATAAACCGCCCAGGCGCTCCTTCCACAACTGTTGGTCCCTCCACCTGGGATTGGTTCGGTGGTCCCATCACCAGCCCAACTGGCATTTGGCTGGCAAGCATTTCACATTCCTCACCCAGTTGCCGAAACCGAGGTTCGACCATTCAAAGAGTTCGGGAACGACGTTTTGTAGTGTAAAATCATTAGTAAAAACTGTACATGATTGATTGGACATGTTTGGCCCAAACAATTGTGGGCAAATGGTCAGGTCTTTAGGTCACTGTCGACCCTTCGACGCCCAGTCTCGCCATGGTGGGAGGAACCCACCAAACCAACAAACCGCCGGGGAATGACTGCACCAGGCCTTCTACTACATGAAGCAACGCGGCATCGCGCGGGAGAACTGCTCGCCCTATCGCATGCGCTGTTTCCACGACCAATCCACCATCTCCATGCAGGCCGGGAAGGGCAGGGCAGTCAATCGTGCTATGGCTTTTGGGTGACTGCAAAAGGACGTTAATGTAACTAAAACCGAGTGTTTGAACCTGGAACCCTAATCTTCCAAGACGATACGCGCACTCGCGAGACAGGTCGTCAGGTCCCGCAGGGTGTCAGCTGAGCAGACACGCCCTGCCTCTTCCAAGACCTGGTGTTGTAGTGCAACATCGTAAAACCACGGTTGTTCGGGATTCGAACCATCAAAACCAACGATGGGACAGGAATCCTTACGTATAGGGTCAGGTCTTTCACAGGACTTGGACTATAGGTAGACTTTTGTACCTAAAGACCTATAGAGTCTCAGTTCGTTACCTTGTAAAAGGCGGAACACAGTCGTATACCTGTTTTTGTCCAGCTCCACGTCCTGATTTTTCGTCTAAGCTGAAGGCATCTATACCTATTTGAGCCACACCTTCTTCGGGTCGGACCAGCACCCCTTCACTCACCTCGTCACCGGATGAGCTCGGCCGAGCCTCAGGCGGCGGACTTCGAGACCTTGGGCCAGAACAGCTCCAGTTGTGCCGGTGCCGATGGCCGGTCGCCGCTTGGGTTTGATTCGCGTGGTGGTGAAAACGCATGGGGAACTACGCCATCGGCATCGCATCGATATCGCATCGCAATCGGCGAAAGGGCGGGTGACAAAGGCACGGTCCAGGACAAGTGAACGTGTGGTTGTTTCAGGTTCTCTAGGGATCCAGTCGTACCTTCTCGGGTTCGGTACGACTGGACCCTCCAAACCTACATAAGAGTGTCGAACACATCACCGTACCTGAGAAGGTACTTGGATCCCTAGGGGTTGTTTGGGGCGATAGGTTCTCCCTGGTCGAACCCGACTCGAATCACGGTGGTGATTGAGGGGATCGAATCACCTTGTAAAAGAGGCTACTTATATGACACACCGAATGGGAATGGATTTGTTTTGAGAAACTCGGGAAACATCAGCCATGGGAGCCCAAATCACATACTAGTGTCAATTGTTTTTTGGGGCTGAAGAACCAGCTGTTTTACTAATGAACAACTGACAACGTCTGACCAAAACAGTACCGTCAGAAAAAACAAAAGGTGACAATAATTAGATTAACAAGCCCCATCATCACCAATTATCAGTATTTTGTGGGGGGTTGATAAAATTATGGGTCCCCAATTAATTGGTGATTGATAAAGGTGACAATATTTTTCCCGAATGCGTAGCGAAGGGTTCCCGTCTATAGTTGGGGGTCTGGGGGTTGGAGCTGTGTTCGCGTGGCTTGCGTCGTGTCGTCGTCTCTCGTCGTCTGTCGTCGTCTCTGGTCGTTTGTCGTCGTCGTCGCGTCTCAAATTTGCTGCCATTGGGGGAAGCTTTTGCAAGGGACTTTGCATGGACGTGTCACGTGTCAGTTTGCGTCGCTATTCCATTGTGATTTGCATGACACCGACATGTCGCGCAAGGAACGTGATGCATTTCGCTGCACAGGCGCAGCGTTTTGTGAGATCCGCAGTTTGCTGCGCGGTGCCATTGGGATTAGCGTTTGGAGAGTCGTGTTTTTGGGGTGTTGG